TCAAGTTCTTTTAGGAAGCCAATTTCATCTTGCAGTTCAGCAATGTGTGACATCGTTACATCAGTTTGTGCAGCAGCACTTAAAGAATGTTGCATATCTTCGTACTCAGCGTCAAGCATAGCTTCTAAGTCTGCAACCTTCTTTTTTGACTCAATATTTTGAGCTTCAAGAGATGGTTTAGGGCTCTCTGATCTTCCTAGGTTCTTCAGTTGAGTACGCAGCATCTCTATTTCTGACTCGTATGTTTTTAGTCTTTTTATTATTTTTTTTCCAGAAAATCGAGTCTGTATTGCAAGTCGATGAAATTCTTGCGCTTTTTGAGAATTTTTTTGAACTCTTTCTATTTCTTCGTTGTACGCATCCGTTACTTGGCGGAGTTCCTGACTGTAACGATCGAATTTAGAATTGGCTTCTGTGAGCTGTTTCTTCAGGTCCAAAATCTCCAGCTGATTATCTAGTTTAGTGAATTCTCTAAGCTCATGAAAGATTCTTCCAGTTCTTTGAGTTGTCTTTTAAGTACACTTGCACGTCTTCAGCTATCACAGATTCTGCTTCGGCTAGTGCCTCCTCATATGTCTCTTCTTGAATAGGCCCATTTCACGTCCGGATGATTCTTCTTTGGGTGGATAATTTTCAATGGCATATACCCTAGGGATGCTTTTTTTAGGTGATACGTTGCCATAGTGTCCAAAAGTATGACGTCTTAATGTTTTTTTCGGTGTTGATGCCGAGGCTCCCATTTGAAAGCGCCCGACAAGATACTTCCGTTTTTAGTCTTTCTATCTCGAGCAGATACTCTTGTTTGCTTTTATCCATCTCTTTTAGCTTAATTGCCTGCTTTTTTGAGCCGAGTTTCGAGATCGCGAGTCAAGTTCTGATATCCTTGAAGTGTCTCTTCTGTAGCTGACAAGATGTTTACTTTCGTTTTATTTTTGACAGTTTTAGTGCTTTGGGCGAATTCTGGTGTAGTCTCTCCTCCTCTGCAGCTAAAGTAACATTCCCGATAATCAATGATTTGGCATTACCGCCAAGAGCCTGTGAGAGCAGTCTAGTCAATTTCGAATCGCGATAACTGATAAACTCCTTCCCCTCGCTTAGTTGCCTTATCACATTTCCTAATACTGACAAAGATTTGTTTATGTTAGCCCCCTCTTTAAGACGCTCACCAGCAGCTTTCGTCAGAGAAACTCTCTCAGAACCAGCTAAGTCCATTAAGTTAAGGTAGCTTATAGTACAGGTCCATCTTCTGATTGGCATCTTTCGACTCCAGAATAATCCGGAAAATCGTGTGTGATCGAGATGACCTCTCATTCATGCGAGTAGCTGCAACTCGTCTGATCTTATTGCCCTGCATCATGTTCTCCATAACTTTATCAACATTGTCTACGACAGCTTCCCTTGCATCAAGCAGCACATTTCCTTTGATATCTTCTCTTATAGTTAAACCCTGATTGCTCTTATCCAGGAGGTCATTGATCTTTTCATTGTAGATTTCAATATAACTGCATCTAATCAAGTACCTCTTATCAACCTGGTCTGCCACATGCTGGAATAACTGATTGGATACTAATTGGAAAAGCCCAGGATCTGTTTTATTGCCCAAAATGGTGTGTGTTTTGCCAGAAGATGTTTGGCCATATGCAAATATTGTGGCATTGAAACCTTCCATGAAGAATCGACTAAAGGTTTTACTACAGATCCATATACATCTGAATTTGTACATTCCTGCTTAAATACATGGTCGAATATATAAACCTCTCCATGGCGACTACTTTCATCGGCTTCCCATATGCAGTTTACTCTTACGTTCCAAAGACGCTCTAGACCATCGGCTACTTCGCGGTGGATCATTGGTCTGATCTTTGTGGCTACTTTAATATTGTCGGAAGTCATTTTGGAAGCTTGAACTGAAATTTAATTAGAACTAGGGCTATTTCACGGGTTATAAAGAGGGCACTTTTCATAATCCAGATTTCGTTTTGGCATTCCAGTTCAGCCATTTGATCCTGAAGCTCTTTTATAGTAGAATCATTATGGCATCGTATATCTGAGATTTTAAATGAGTGGTTGACCTCACGTTGGTTACTCTCGTCCATCAGACTCTTTACGTCATTTCTCAGTTTAGATTCAAGTTCTTTTAGGAAGCCAATTTCATCTTGCAGTTCAGCAATGTGTGACATCGTTACATCAGTTTGTGTAGCAGCACTTAAAGAATCTTGCATATCTTCGTACTCAGCGTCAAGCATAGCTTCTAAGTCTGCAACCTTCTTTTTTGACTCAATATTTGAGCTTCAAGAGATGGTCTAGGCTCTCTGATCTTCCTAGGTTCTTCAGTTGAGTACGCAGCATCTCTATTTCTGACTCGTATGTTTTTAGTCTTTTTATTATTTTTTTCCAGAAAATCGAGTCTGTATTGCAAGTCGATGAAATTCTTGCGCTTTTTGAGAATTTTTTTGAACTCTTTCTATTTCTTCGTTGTACGCATCCGTTACTTGGCGGAGTTCCTGACTGTAACGATCGAATTTAGAATTGGCTTCTGTGAGCTGTTTCTTCAGGTCCAAAATCTCCAGCTGATTATCTAGTTTAGTGAATTCTCTAAGCTCATTGAAAGATTCTTCCAGTTCTTTGAGTTGTCTTTTAAGTACACTTGCACGTCTTCTTTGTATGGTCTTGTTTGCTGATCAACATTATATGATTTCTAGACATGTTCAATCTGTGCAGCTTCTTCGCTTTCATATTAATGTCAATAAGAGCATTTCATCACATTTTTGAATAAATGTGGTTCATCACAAATTGTAGAAATACTCTGAGCATTGACTATAAAATGGAATGGACTTGATCCGTGAGTATTCTCCGAGCAAATCGTCTCAAGTGCGTTTTTGATCGTTGCGCCCTGATTAGAAATAGTGCCAACAACGCACAAACCAAGTCGCTGCTAGTTTGTGATCACATGAACAATAATCGTTTTCAGATCTGGGATTCTTGTATCTTTTACTAGATAATAAGCCACAACCTGCTTATAATTTTTAAGTAAGGGCATGATTTCTGATAAATCACTTTTTCAGAGTTCTAGTTGATTTTGTTACCTCAGCAATTCAAGATTTATTAGCTGAAAATGTACACTGTGAGCACTGGGATCAGCCCTAAACTTTGTCCAAACCCTGCAATAATCGTAAACACTAAACAAGGGTAGACATATTTCTAGTTTAACTGCCTGAAGATTTTCTCTATGGTTTTATACGTAACTCTCCACCTATTATCTCATTTTGTACATGTTCTGGGAGAACTCAACTTGCTCCCTATAAAATGCAACGTCTTCCTGCACAGGTGGTTCTGGTTAAGTGCCAGCCTGCTTCGGGTTTGTAATTAGTTGTTGCAATTTTCTGATTTCGTCGTCCTTTTTCATAATCCAGATTTCGTTTTGGCATTCCAGTTCAGCCATTTGATCCTGAAGCTCTTTTATAGTAGAATCATTATGGCATCGTATATCTGAGATTTTAAATGAGTGGTTGACCTCACGTTGGTTACTCTCGTCCATCAGACTCTTTACGTCATTTCTCAGTTTAGATTCAAGTTCTTTTAGGAAGCCAATTTCATCTTGCAGTTCAGCAATGTGTGACATCGTTACATCAGTTTGTGCAGCAGCACTTAAAGAATGTTGCATATCTTCGTACTCAGCGTCAAGCATAGCTTCTAAGTCTGCAACCTTCTTTTTTGACTCAATATTTTGAGCTTCAAGAGATGGTTTAGGGCTCTCTGATCTTCCTAGGTTCTTCAGTTGAGTACGCAGCATCTCTATTTCTGACTCGTATGTTTTTAGTCTTTTTATTATTTTTTTCCAGAAAATCGAGTCTGTATTGCAAGTCGATGAAATTCTTGCGCTTTTTGAGAATTTTTTTGAACTCTTTCTATTTCTTCGTTGTACGCATCCGTTACTTGGCGGAGTTCCTGACTGTAACGATCGAATTTAGAATTGGCTTCTGTGAGCTGTTTCTTCAGGTCCAAAATCTCCAGCTGATTATCTAGTTTAGTGAATTCTCTAAGCTCATTGAAAGATTCTTCCAGTTCTTTGAGTTGTCTTTTAAGTACACTTGCACGTCTTCAGCTATCACAGATTCTGCTTCGGCTAGTGCCTCCTCATATGTCTCTTCTTGAATAGGCCTCATTTCACGTCCGGATGATTCTTCTTTGGGTGGATAATTTTTCAATGGCATATACCCTAGGGATGCTTTTTTAGGTGATACGTTGCCATAGTGTCCAAAAGTATGACGTCTTAATGTTTTTTTCGGTGTTGATGCCGAGGCTCCCATTTGAAAGCGCCCGACAATAGATACTTCCGTTTTTAGTCTTTCTATCTCGAGCAGATACTCTTGTTTGCTTTTATCCATCTCTTTTAGCTTAATTGCCTGCTTTTGAGCCGAGTTTCGAGATCGCGAGTCAAGTTCTGATATCCTTGAAGTGTCTCTTCTGTAGCTGACAAGATGTTTACTTTCGTTTTATTTTTGACAGTTTTAGTGCTTTGGGCGAATTCTGGTGTAGATCTAGTCTCCTCCTCTGCAGCTAAAGTAACATTCCCGATAATCAATGATTTGGCATTACCGCCAAGAGCCTGTGAGAGCAGTCTAGTCAATTTCGAATCGCGATAACTGATAAACTCCTTCCCCTCGCTTAGTTGCCTTATCACATTTCCTAATACTGACAAAGATTTGTTTATGTTAGCCCCCTCTTTAAGACGCTCACCAGCAGCTTTCGTCAGAGAAACTCTCTCAGAACCAGCTAAGTCCATTAAGTTAAGGTAGCTTATATGTACAGGTCCATCTTTCTGATTGGCATCTTTCGACTCCAGAATAATCCGGAAAATCGTGTGTGATCGAGATGACCTCTCATTCATGCGAGTAGCTGCAACTCGTCTGATCTTATTGCCCTGCATCATGTTCTCCATAACTTTATCAACATTGTCTACGACAGCTTCCCTTGCATCAAGCAGCACATTTCCTTTGATATCTTCTCTTATAGTTAAACCCTGATTGCTCTTATCCAGGAGGTCATTGATCTTTTCATTGTAGATTTCAATATAACTGCATCTAATCAAGTACCTCTTATCAACCTGGTCTGCCACATGCTGGAATAACTGATTGGATACTAATTGGAAAAGCCCAGGATCTGTTTTATTGCCCAAAATGGTGTGTGTTTTGCCAGAAGATGTTTGGCCATATGCAAATATTGTGGCATTGAAACCTTCCATGAAGGAATCGACTAAAGGTTTTACTACAGATCCATATACATCTGAATTTGTACATTCCTGCTTAAATACATGGTCGAATATATAAACCTCTCCATGGCGACTACTTTCATCGGCTTCCCATATGCAGTTTACTCTTACGTTCCAAAGACGCTCTAGACCATCGGCTACTTCGCGGTGGATCATTGGTCTGATCTTTGTGGCTACTTAATATTGTCGGAAGTCATTTTGGAAGCTTGAACTGAAATTTAATTAGAACTAGGGCTATTTCACGGGTTATAAAGAGGGGCACTTTTCATAATCCAGATTTCGTTTTGGCATTCCAGTTCAGCCATTTGATCCTGAAGCTCTTTTATAGTAGAATCATTATGGCATCGTATATCTGAGATTTTAAATGAGTGGTTGACCTCACGTTGGTTACTCTCGTCCATCAGACTCTTTACGTCATTTCTCAGTTTAGATTCAAGTTCTTTTAGGAAGCCAATTTCATCTTGCAGTTCAGCAATGTGTGACATCGTTACATCAGTTTGTGTAGCAGCACTTAAAGAATCTTGCATATCTTCGTACTCAGCGTCAAGCATAGCTTCTAAGTCTGCAACCTTCTTTTTTGACTCAATATTTTGAGCTTCAAGAGATGGTTTAGGGCTCTCTGATCTTCCTAGGTTCTTCAGTTGAGTACGCAGCATCTCTATTTCTGACTCGTATGTTTTTAGTCTTTTATTATTTTTTCCAGAAAATCGAGTCTGTATTGCAAGTCGATGAAATTCTTGCGCTTTTTGAGAATTTTTTTGAACTCTTTCTATTTCTTCGTTGTACGCATCCGTTACTTGGCGGAGTTCCTGACTGTAACGATCGATTTTAGAATTGGCTTCTGTGAGCTGTTTCTTCAGGTCCAAAATCTCCAGCTGATTATCTAGTTTAGTGAATTCTCTAAGCTCATTGAAAGATTCTTCCAGTTCTTTGCGTTGTCTTTTAAGTACACTTGCACGTCTTCTTTGTATGGTCTTGTTTGCTGATCAACATTATATGATTTCTAGACATGTTCAATCTGTGCAGCTTCTTCACTTTCATATTAATGTCAATAAGAGCATTTCATCCATTTTTGAATAAATGTGGTTCATCACAAATTGTAGAAATACTCTGAGCATTGACTATAAAATGGAATGGACTTGATCCGTGAGTATTCTCCGAGCAAATCGTCTCAAGTGCGTTTTTGATCGTTGCGCCCTGATTAGAAATAGTGCCAACAACGCACAAACCAAGTCGCTGCTAGTTTGTGATCACATGAACAATAATCGTTTTCAGATCTGGGATTCTTGTATCTTTTACTAGATAATAAGCCACAACCTGCTTATAATTTTTAAGTAAGGGCAAGATTTCTGATAAATCACTTTTTCAGAGTTCTAGTTGATTTTGTTACCTCAGAATTCAAGATTTATTAGCTGAAAATTGTACACTGTGAGCACTGGGATCAGCCCTAAACTTTGTCCAAACCCTGCAATAATCGTAAACACTAAACAAGGGTAGACATATTTCTAGTTTAACTGCCTGAAGATTTTCTCTATGGTTTATACGTAACTCTCCACCTATTATCTCATTTTTGTACATGTTCTGGGAGAACTCAACTTGCTCCCTATAAAATGCAACGTCTTCCTGCACAGGTGGTTCTGGTTAAGTGCCAGCCTGCTTCGGGTTTGTAATTAGTTGTTGCAATTTTCTGATTTCGTCGTCCTTTTTCATAATCCAGATTTCGTTTTGGCATTCCAGTTCAGCCATTTGATCCTGAAGCTCTTTTATAGTAGAATCATTATGGCATCGTATATCTGAGATTTTAAATGAGTGGTTGACCTCACGTTGGTTACTCTCGTCCATCAGACTCTTTACGTCATTTCTCAGTTTAGATTCAAGTTCTTTTAGGAAGCCAATTTCATCTTGCAGTTCAGCAATGTGTGACATCGTTACATCAGTTTGTGCAGCAGCACTTAAAGAATGTTGCATATCTTCGTACTCAGCGTCAAGCATAGCTTCTAAGTCTGCAACCTTCTTTTTTGACTCAATATTTTGAGCTTCAAGAGATGGTTTAGGGCTCTCTGATCTTCCTAGGTTCTTCAGTTGAGTACGCAGCATCTCTATTTCTGACTCGTATGTTTTTAGTCTTTTTATATTTTTTTCCAGAAAATCGAGTCTGTATTGCAAGTCGATGAAATTCTTGCGCTTTTTGAGAATTTTTTTGAACCTTCTATTCTTTTCTTCGTTGTACGCATCCGTTACTTGGCGGAGTTCCTGACTGTAACGATCGATTTTAGAATTGGCTTCTGTGAGCTGTTTTCTTCAGGTCCAAAATCTCCAGCTGATTATCTAGTTTAGTGAATTCTCTGAGCTCATTGAAAGATTCTTCCAGTTCTTTGAGTTGTCTTTTAAGTACACTTGCAGGCACGTCTTCAGTTATCACAGATTCTGCTTCGGCTAGTGCCTCCTCATATGTCTCTTCTTGAATAGGCCTCATTTCACGTCCGGATGATTCTTCTTCGGGTGGATAATTTTTCAATGGCATATACCGTAGGGATGCTTTTTTAGGTGATACGTTGCCATAGTCTCCAAAAGTATGACGTCTTAATGTTTTTTTCGGTGTTGATGCCGAGGCTCCCATTTGGAAGCGCCCGACAATAGATACTTCCGTTTTTAGTCTTTCTATCTCGAGCAGATACTCTTGTTTGCTTTTCTCCATCTCTTCTAGCTTAATTGCCTGCTTTTTGAGCCGAGTTTCGAGATCGCGAGTCAAGTTCTGATATCCTTGAAGTGTCTCTGTAGCTGACAAGATGTTTGCTTTCGGTTTATTTTTGACAGTTTTAGTGCTTTGGGCGAATTCTGTGTAGATCTAGTCTCCTCCTCTGCAGCTGAAGTAACATTCCCGATAATCAATGATTTGGCATTACTGCCAAGAGCCTGTGAGAGCAGTCTAGTCAATTTCGAATCGCGATAACTGATAAACTCCTTCCCTCGCTTAGTTGCCTTATCACATTTCCTAATACTGACAAAGATTTGTTTATGTTAGCCCCCTCTTTAAGACGCTCACCAGCAGCTTTCGTCAGAGAAACTCTCTCAGAACCAGCTAAGTCCATTGAGTTAAGGTAGCTTATATGTACAGGTCCATCTTTCTGATTGGCATCTTTCGACTCCAGAATAATCCGGAAAATCGTGTGTGATCGAGATGACCTCTCATTCATGCGATAGCTGCAACTCGTCTGATCTTATTGCCCTGCATCATGTTCTCCATAACTTGATCAACATTGTCTACGACAGCTTCCCTTGCATCAAGCAGCACATTTCCTTTGATATCTTCTTATAGTTAAACCCTGATTGCTCTTATCCAGGAGGTCATTGATCTTTTCATTGTAGATTTCAATATAACTGATCTAATCAAGTACCTCTTATCAACCTGGTCTGCCACATGCTGGAATAACTGATTGGATACTAATTGGAAAAGCCCAGGATCTGTTTTATTGCCCAAAATGGTGTGTGTGTTTTGCCAGAAGATGTTTGGCCATATGCAAATATTGTGCATTGAAACCTTCCATGAAGGAATCGACTAAAGGTTTTACTACAGATCCATATACATCTGAATTTGTACATTCCTGAAATACATGGTCGAATATATAAACCTCTCCATGGCGACTACTTTCATCGGCTTCCCAATATGCAGTTTTCTCTTACGTTCCAAAGACGCTCTAGACCATCGGCTACTTCGCGGTGGATCATTGGTCTGATCTTTGTGGCTATTTAATATTGTCGGAAGTCATTTTGGAAGCTTGAACTGAAATTTAATTAGAACTAGGGCTATTTCACGGGTTATAAAGAGGGGCAGATGTATCAGGTTGATACATTCTTTTTTTCCTCCTTTCCAGTATAGAAGATTTTTTTTCTTGTAGGCTATGAATGCGGTCCGATAGTTTAGTAGAGCTACATTTACAGGGTGACTCAAAATCAAAGAAGAAACAGAATTGTTAAATTTCATATAGACTGTTATTGTTATTACAAAAAGAAGTTGAAGCAGCAGCAAATTCTCACAATCTATAGATCCATCACTTTCAGCACCCGATTTTTCAACTTGAAAAATGCAGCTCGGTGAAGAATCACAAGGTAACTGTTGTCTATTCAGACAATACTCTTCTAAAAGCAACGCGAAGTTACCTAGTGCCTTACATGAATCGCCTTCATAATTCTTCATTATTGTCAATGGAAAACTGAAATTGTTGATTATTACAGTTTTTAAAGCTGCAAATAAGCAGATGGGTTCGTGTTGGAAATCCCACGTCTAATCTCGCAAAACAGGTTATCCACCGGATCTTACTATCAACTTCTGAAATGCCATTACTGTTTTTAGCCATGTGTACAACAGGTTTGTACGCATAAAACGCTCAGGGGAACAATAAAATTTCGTCGCCTAATAGAACTTTCAGTCCCAGACTGAAAAAAAAAGGAATTTACAGAAGCTGGTTGGATACCAAATAGCACAAGGCCATCTTCTCGTTCTCTAACCAGTATTGTAATTTACACACTTCCGATCTAATGCATTACGCCTTCATAGTGTTATAAAAATAATATAGATCTTATCAGGTTTCTTTGATTCCTCTACTATTTTGTTATCATGCTGCATAGATTGCTATACGAGAACATGTGTATTTGGTTTTGGAAGATACTACAAGGCTGTAGTGCTAAACATAAACTTAGAAGTACCTGGCTGTGTTTCCTTCTTATTTGGAACTACATGTTGGGGTACTTGTTACTTATTTTTACGCTTCCTGCCGACATAGGTCAGTTGGTTGATGCGCAATTCTACATGTAATTCTACTGGTGTGATATTTCTGTTCGTATAGACGAAAGCATTGAGCAGGTAGTGGTGAGTCTTTGCATCATCAGTCCATACTTATTCGGTTTAGTTTTCTTGTAGGCACAGGAAGGACATCGGCCCACGAGCATCTCGTATTTTGTAGGGGACTCACCCGAAATATAAAATTTCGACAGTTCTCTATGAGTGTCTCGAAAATTTCACGTATTTGGAGAAATTTATCGGCATTTCTCGAGTCACAGGGTTATTATTTTCCAAATTGGTTGCCACGGACTTTAGTTCAGGTAAATGCGTAATAATATTGCGTCTGGACGACAGTTGCAGGCGCTCGTTTTGA